AAAATATCCTTTCCCAGCTGTCCCTTACACCTGCACTCCCAGCTCAGGGCAGAGTGCTGGCAAGTGTCAGGGAGGCAGCACAACTGTGGCTTTCCTTGGTCATTAGTCTGCATCCCATGGGCAGAAATAAGAGATTTCAATATCTAAAGCAAAGCCAGGATACCTTTGGACACTTATTTCCCTTCATCAGCCCTCAGCTGGTACAAAACCCAAGTTCTTTGCAAAGGAAGCTAAGAAATGTCAATGCACCAATGTTGGTTCAACAAGTTCTTTAGCAGCTGAGAAAGATTCCCTGCAAACACAGTGACATCTGTTCAGGATGAGAAGCCTCCAGGAATGCCAACCTACCATTTTCCTCAGGGGCTTGCTGCGGATGGCCATCCCATCCATGTAGTCCTCCAGCTTGAACTGGTAGGACACCTGGAGCTTCTGGAGCAGGCCATCAAAAAAAGAAGTGCCCTGTGAAACACACAGTATTTGGATGTTACAGCCTTTGATGATGAGCAAAAAACCACCACGTTATTCCTGCCTGCAGGAAGGTCCCTTTCCCTGAGGTTTGGGCTGTTTCTCTGCACAGAACAAGGAGGTTGGAGGATTTCCAGCCTCAGAGGTTTGAGACTGAGCAAGACAATATCAAGACTGCCCTGATCTAGTGTGTGAGGAGTCCTGCTTTGAGCAGGAGGTTGGACTAAAGCCCACCAGCAGTCCCATCCCACCAATCTAATCCTATAAAACACATCCTCTTGGAACTGCCAGCCTACTTTCTACAAAGAGTAAACTGAGCTGCACAGTTTTACAGTATGACTTTAAAGCACACTGGATAAAGGTGGCACAAACATCTCCAGGAACACCTCTGTTCATTTCCACTTCAGGGCATTCATCTCATTGTAACTTAAACCAATTTCTAATTAATATGAAACAAACCAAAATAAGCCTGGCTTAAGTTGTAACAAACACCCCCTGGACCTCCACGTCCCACACTAACCCATCATCTGCCTGAGCAACCTCCTTGTCCGAGGATGGCCTAAGGCACACACTGATATGAAGAGGATTGAGAACACCGGTTGCCCACTTACACCATCCCGTTCTGAACACCAGCCAATCCCACCAACCCCAAACCTTGTGTGGGGTTTGGGGATGTTTCTCTCCTCTCACCTCATCTAGAAGCTGGAGCAGTTTGTTCCGAATTTCTTGGGCATTTTCCCCCTGAGGATCCTTGAGGAGCTGTCGGAATTTCTCTATCACTTGGTAAAAGGCATTCTTCCACAGCAGCTGGTCCACGTTCTGGGTGTCAGAGAACTCAATATCCATCAGGATGCATCTTTCATACAGCTGGAGCATCTCCACCCTACAGGGAAGCACAATTAGTAATACAACAGCAACTGCCCAGTCATGAGCTGCCAGGGAACATGTGCTGAGCCACCTGCAGCTTTTCATCCAGCAAGCACCAGGCATAAGCAGTTCAGCAGCTCCCACCACGGCAGACTGATGCTTCCACACATATCCCACAGGGAAATGGGAGCTGTTGCGGTCAAACACACTTCCTGCTCCACAAGGGTAAATCTGGAAGGACCATCTCCCTTGTATGCATGCATTAGAATGGATCAAGGCCTGGCAAAGAGCAAGAAGAGCTGCTACAGTTCTGCCAAAGGGACAGCAGGTCCCTCTCACTAGCTGGTGTCACCAGGCTGCTCCCACTGGACCACTGTATGTCACAGCATCAAGTGGTGACAACAACACTACCCTGAGCTTGAAAGGCACACAGCTTGAGAATCTCACGCATCTCTTTGTAAGCACAACCCCTGAAGGCCACAGTGCAGATCAGACAGATAACTGAGGCCAGGTAAGGAAGCAGAAGTATTTCAGCAAATACTGAAGGCATGTGAGAGCACTGGAAGTGAGAGAAAGCAGCTCCAGCAAGAGCAAAAAGAACCCACGAGCTGCAGTGGGTGCTTGTCCTGCTCCTCCATACCCCTGAAACATGGGCAAGGCATTCCCCATCCACAGCTTAGCTCTCAGCCTAGATGAACGGTGTGCTCACCCACAGTTTCAATACCCACACATGACAAATAGACCCAGAACATGAGAAGCTTTTGAGGCACTACCCCATCTCCCAGTCTCTGAGACACCAACATCTCCAGTATATCACCCCCCCCCAAAGGAGACACCATTCCCTGGATAACAGCTCTGTTAAGTTCACCCTGGAAACGACTCAGTGCCACCTCCCTCTACAGCACAGCCACACACCTCAGCTGGGCCATCTTCTCCAGCCCCTCCGGGCTGATGCGGTCTCTGGAAAGCAGGTTGCTGAGCTGCTGCTCCTGGTTCCCAGCCTCACGGAGGTGTTTGCTCAGCTCCTGCTGCTGCAAGTTCCTCATCTGCTGCTCCATCTCAGGACTCAAAGGGGCTGGGGGCAGTGGGCCACACATGTACTGCCCTGCCTGGCCGGGGTAACCAGGGTAGTAGGCTCCTGGGTACACACCATTGCTTGGACCCATGGGATACTGCAGGGAGTACCCACCATAAGGATACTGAGCGCCTTGACCAGAGGCACGAGGGTAATAGTAGGGATTATCAGAGTTTTGGAACTTATAGTAGGAGGTCTGGGCCTGGCGGGCTTCCCCCCAGGAGGTGGGGCTCACTTCATCATCCGTGTCCAGGAAGTGGAGCTGAGCAGTCTGGCTCTTCAGGGCAGGCTTTTGGTCCGGGTTATTGGGGTCCCACAGCCTGCGAATGGTCCCTCCCCGGCCCCTGCTGCGGGGGCCTTTGCTCCCAGCCCCACCGAGCAGCAGCCTGGGCCCGGGGTGAACGGCTTCTGGGGAGCCCGTGGTGCTGGCAGAGAGGTCGGTGTTGGCAGGAAGGAACAGGATCCCACGGCCTCTCCCTTGGGGCTCTCTGCTATGGCTCCTCACCTCCAGAGCCTCAGAGTCCTTGCAACTACCAAATGCCTTCAGGGGCTTTTTTTTCTCTGTGTCTGTCAGGCTGACATCCCTGCTCATAGTCCTGCTGTCAAATGTGACTCGAAAGGATCCCTTCCCTTCCCTGCCATTGCTGCTCCACTCACTCTCACTCCTAGAAGCTCGGCTCTGCTCTGGATGCTTCTTCCTGTCCAGATTCCTGCTGGAGACATAAGCTTCTGTCTCATCGATTCGGTCATCATCCAGGGAGTCAGTGGAGGACGCAGAGAGCTGCTTCCTGGGACGTATCCTCTCTCTGGCACGCTGCTGGTGCCTCTCCACCCCATCCACGAGTGGGGCTCCATCTACGCTGTTGTTGCTTCCAGCTGAGCTCGTGCTGCAGGTGCGGTACCGGCTCCGGCGCTTGTCAGAGCGGGAATACCGCTTGGTAGAGCCCAACTTGCCGTCATCATTTGCTCTCCTCATCCTGTCACCTCGCTCCAGTCGTCTTCCTTTTTCTCCCCTTGAGGCTTTCACTCCTTCCCCTGCCTGGCTCCCTTCTCTATCCTCCTTGGTTGATTTGGGTTTCCTGTTGTTGTCTTTTCCAGTCCCTTTCTCGGTCTCTTCATCCCTCTCAACCTTCAGCTGCTCCATCTTACTGGTGACTTCCTCAGTCCCTGACCTCAGGGATGTTTCCTTCGGAGCTGAATGCAGGCGTTTCCCAGGCTGGTAGATCTGCTGGTCTGGCTTCTTGGTTCTCCTGGTAGCTTTGGGACACCACTCATCCGAGGCTGGCTGCTTGGACACGCTCTCTGGGCTCTGAAGACCACCTTTTGTCTCTTCATTCTCCTGCAAAGGACCATTCTGCTTGGGGCCATCGCCTTTAGTGAAATCCTCCACGACTGGAGCCCTCCCTCCCTTGTCACTGGGACTCCCCTCCCTGCTCCTCTCCTTCTCCGAGGCCCCAGGCTTTGGTGGCACCAGTTTGTTCCTGAGGCGGGAGAGCCCAGGTTTGTAGATCTCCAGGTCTGGGCGCCTGTTGTCCTTGCGGTGCCTCGGCTCCTTCACTTCCTTCATGGTATCTGAGGAGAAACGGACACAACAACGTTATTCTCACCACAAACCAGCCAGGAACAACCAACCATAATGACATATATTCAAGGAGAGCTATTAAAGACAAAGAACCTACCACCCCCAGGGCAGGAACAAGAGAACAGATCTAAAAGCCAAGGTTTATAGGAGCAGAAAATGAGAAGCTGTAACAGAGCTGGCCAAACCCTTGGCCTGATTCACCCTCAAAACAGTCCCACCACAGCTTCTGCCTCAAAGCACCACCAAGAGGGGAAAAAGGACAAAGCCCAGTGCGAAACACGAGCACGTGTGTGCGAGTACTGGGAGCACTTTTGCTGCTCCAGGTTTCAGCAGTGGTTGCCGCTGCTTTGGGAGCCTCCCCCAGCCAGCCGGGGCACGGTTTGAGTCAAAGATGCGTCCTCCCCCCTTGCTCGCAACCCCGTAACGCTTCCCTCCTCCTCCCTGTAGCTGTATTTACACAGCACCTCGCCAGAGAACGCACCCTGGCCAACACATAACCGAACGCTACGCTGCAGCCAGGCTGCGTTACCTCAGCTCTTCCCCCCTGTCACTAACCGGGACCACCGACCCTCAGCCCCGCCACAGCCACCGCTACGGGGGTGGGTGCTGAGTCCCGAGCGGGCAGCGAGGCCCCAACCGCGGGGCAAAGCCTCCACCGGCGCCGGGCCCCGTGCGCTCACCGCAGGCCGGTGCCGCTGAGGGGAAGCGGAGCTGTCGGGATGGGGAAGGCCCAAGCGGCGGCTCCCGCCTCCCCCCCCCAGCCCGTTCCCGTTCCCGGTCCCCAGCTCCCGCCTCCGCGGTCCCCGCCCGCCCTCACCGCCGCCGGCAGCGCGGGCCTGCGCCGCCACCATGTCCCGCAGCTCGGCGGCCGAGACGCGGACGCGCTCCAGCCCGTCCGCCATCTTCCGTCCGCCCCGCCCCGCCCCTCCCCGGCGGAGGCACGGACGGCGGCCGCGCAGGGACAAAACAGCTGCGGAGGACGCATGCGCGTATGGGCCCCGGGACCGCGGAGCACATGGCGGAGCCGCCCGGCCTGGGGCTGTGCGATGTGCGGGAGGCGGAGCGGAGGCTGCGGGAGCGGGTGCACCGCACACCGCTGCTCACCTGCGCGGCCCTGGCCCGCCTGGCCCGCCGGAGGCTGCTCTTCAAGTGCGAGCTCTTCCAGAAGACCGGCTCCTTCAAGGTGCGCGGGGATGGCGGCGGTGCGCGGCCGTCCCCCGGCCTCGGGGCACCGGTTGCTTCTGGTGATGGAGGAACCTCGCTGTCTGCTGTCACCCACCCTAAGGGAGGGTGCTGCTGTGTCCTTGCAGATCCGCGGGGCCCTGAACGCAGTCAGGAGCCTGGTGGAGGGTAGCGAGCGCGCTGGAGGGGAGCTGCCCCGCGCCGTTGTCACACACAGCAGTGGGAATCACGGGCAGGCCCTCGCCTGCGCTGCCCAGGCAGAAGGTAATGTGGGTCCTGACCTTCAGCCCCAGCTCAGAGAGCGGACGGGCAGCGGGCATGGGGCCAGGGTAAAGGCAGAGGTGGATGCTGGGCAGAGGGAGCTCCAGGCACCCAGCTCTGCCACGGCTGGAGGTAAGCAGGGCTGTCCCTCTCCTTAACCCCAGTGTGACAAAGCAGGAATGCAGCTCTTTTGCTGTTGGCTTCGCCTCTTCTTTCATCACACAGGGATTCCTGCGTACATCGTGGTGCCCCGCACAGCACCACAGTGTAAGCAAGATGCCATCCGCAGCTACGGTGCCACGCTGGTGCCATGCGAGCCCAGTGACGAGGTAAGGCGTGGGGAGGACTGGCAAGAGCGTGGCCCTGCCAGACCAAGACGTGGCATCTGTGCTTTCCCTTAGTCCAGAGCTGAGACAGCAGCTCGGGTGGTGCGGGAGACAGGAGGAGTCATGGTGCATCCCAACCAGGAGGCAGCAGTGATCACCGGGCAAGGCACAATCGCACTGGAGGTGCTGGAGCAGGTGAGGGGACCACAGTGCATGACACCGGACCCTACCCCTCAGAGGCAGGGGCACAGCAGAGAGGGGTACATGAGTATCAACGCTTCCTTTCTGCACAGGCACCCGAGGTAAATGCAGTGGTGGCTCCGGTTGGAGGTGGAGGAATGATTGCAGGAATAGCAATTGCCATCAAGGTAGGCAACGGGTCGCCTGGGAAGCGGTGGCTGCGTGTCCTGGTGGGAAGCGTAGGGTTCCAAAGCAATGAGCAGCTTTTCTCTTTAGAAACAGAGACCTTGCTGTGAGGATCCCTGGTTGCCTGGGGGCCGCATGGCTGTAATGTAACCAACCCCCTGCACCAGCAGCAACAGGGGGCTGACACGGAGGAATTTCATCCAGGTGCCTCTTCCTGTTCTGTGCAGGCTCTGAGACCAGATGTGAAGGTGTTTGCTGCTGAGCCATGCAACGCAGACGACTGTTACCAGTCCAAGCTGAGAGGGGAGCTGACCCCCAGTCCTCACCCAGGAGAAACCATCGCAGATGCAGTGAGAACCAACATCGGCCCCAACACGTGGCCCATCATCAGGGACTTGGTTGATGATGTCCTGACAGTCTCAGAGGAAGAAATCAAGGTGAACATTCCCAGTCCCTTTCTCCCAACTGCCTCCATCCATTCTCTTCCCATTCATCCAGCTCTGTCCCAGGGATAAGCTCCCAGAGCAGCACAACCCTCACCCCACTGCAGATGTCCAACACGCACATCTCCAGCTGGAAAGGGCTGGCGGAAGCTCTGCTCTCCCCGTGCCCCTTCCCCAGCCCTGGAGCAGCCGGTCCTTGCTGCTGGAATGACAGCAGCTGCTCTGTCCCGACAGCGAGCCACACGGCTGGTGTGGGAAAGGATGAAGCTGCTGATTGAGCCAACAGCAGGCGTAGGAGTGGCGGCCGTGCTCTCGGAGCGGTTCCAGGCGTTCCCTCGGGATCTGGAGCACGTTTGCATCGTGCTGTGCGGGGGAAACGTGGACCTGAGCTCCCTGACCTGGCTCACAGAGCGCCCTGGGACAGCGGAATGAGAACGGAGCGGTGCCTCCAGCGATGGGAACCTCGCTCTGGGCTTGTAGAGTCTGGTTTGTGTGCTACTAAAAACAGACAGAACAGCCCCAAAGGTCTGAAAGGGTTCTGTGGGTGGATAAAGGAAGCTGGGGGTGGTCTCTGCAGCAGGGAGGTGCTTGGTTCCGCAGCAAAGGGTTCCTACTGGGGGTGTGGAAACAAAGCATGGCCTGTTCTCCTCTCCCCAGTGCCCTGGCTTTATGCTCAGCCACCCTCCCTTCACCTTTCTCAGTATCACAGTAACTTCTAGCTAACTCGTGTCCTTCATACAGCAGAATCCCTGCACACGTGGCTGGGGAGAATAGCCCCAATGAGCAGGGGGTACCCATAGCCTCCCCATTCAGCCTCCCCCACGACAGAAGCACTTTAAGAGGTTTTTGAAAACACTTTCCATTAAAATAAATAGCTGTAGCTGGTACCTGAGCAGCAGCTGGGGGGAGAACCACCCCTGTATAGACCCCAGCAGTGACACATCCATACATCAGTGCTGTCCTCACTGTGCGCGGCCTGAGAACAGCAGCTGAGGAGCTAAGGCACCAACTCCAGCCACGCTGGAGTTATTCCATGTCCACCTCCTGCACTGGCAGCGTGCTCTGGCTCCTCACCCACGGCACAGGCTCCGGAACGTGGGGATCGTAAGTCCATTTAGGAAAAACCCGCTTGTAGAGGTTCAGCAGCACCGTGTCCTGGGACTTGAGCTGTCCATCAAACTGGCACTTCATGTGCCCGTGGGTTCCTAGGCACAGAGAAGAGGCCATTAGCTGCCTCTCCTGCCCAGGACCAAATCCTGCCCAGCATCACAGGGATAAATCCCAAATCAAACCTACCTAATGGCTCCTTGATGTGTCCTCTACGGCCCCACTTTGTCCTCAGCTCCACTGGCTTAAACCACATCACATCCTCTGGAGATCAACACACAAAAGGCAGGTAAGGAACAGGCTTTGCTGCACCAATGCAACCGCTCCCACAGGAGTTCTGCTTCCACATCCCCTCTTCCCACCACACAGAGCCGAGCTGTACCTCTGTTAAAGAACATGTATCTCACAACAGCCATCTTGGTGAAGATCTTGAATGGGTGGCCACTGAGCACCAGCCGCTTGATGACGATCCTGTCAGGGTCCACAGACAGCAGAGAACCAGTGGCGATGAGATCATGCATTCCTGCAAGGCAGAATCACTGATAACACCTCTTCTACCCCATCAAAACCTCCTTCCTCCAAATGATTCCAGGCCCAGAGCAACCCCAGAACAGGGACAGCCAAAGGTGCCAGTGATAATGGGGATGGAAATACATGCATCTTCTCAAATAACAGGAAGGGGATGCCTTTTTCTGGATAGATGCACTTGTAAATGGGGTATGGGAACAGCTTGCTCATGTTTGATCCCAGACACTACCTCATCAGCACTTAGCAACTTACCATTACTTCTCTGTTTAAAAAGCAGCACTGAAGCAGGAGGGAAAGTGATGGGAGCATAAGCAGTCACCACCATGGCAGCATCCGGGCGCAGGAAACGCTCCAGTTTGTGCTTGTCGGCTAGGAGAGACCAGAAAAGATCAAGTTCAGGCCAAGAGCAGTCACCAGAGCTCTGGGAAACCCCATTGAGCCCATTATCCCCAGCAAACAGGCTCTGTGCTTTAAGAAAAGGGGTGACAAACACCCCTCCTGTGCCACTATGAATGTCTGGGTATGAAGGTGATCCTATGAGCTCACTGCATGGAGCCTGACACCCCCTTCCCTGGACCAGTCCCAAACCCCTCCACTCCCCACTATTTAATGCCTCCCTGGAAGCCTCAGAGCCTAGGAGTGAGTCTTCAGAAGAGTCCTTCAGCCAGGTTCAGACACCACGGCTAAGACATCACTGGCTTCCTCTGGAAACTCCAGCCCCTGTGGTCCCTCCCGAACCTGAGGTGTGCTGGGAGAACAGGGGGGATGCTCGGAAGCGCCGGAACCCGCAGTGGAAGATCAGCTCCTCCTTTGCCCTCACTGGATCGCTGTGGCTCGGGTGTCGGCGCACCAGGAAGTTCAACACGGACATCTGGAAGAGAAGCAGCTCTGAGAGGGGCTGACCCAGGGCTGGGAAGTGATGCTGGAGCAGAAAGCAATGGGACACTCATGACAATGGCTTCCCAGGATCACTGGTTACCAGTGCAGATGCCTCAGCCAGGCTCAGACACTTGAGCCCAAACACCCCTGCTCTGACCAAAGGGAAGGTCCTACTGCAAAATGCAATGGGGGGAGATTTCAGCCCAATCCCTCCGCAGGCAGAACCTCTCCAACCCATGGAATCAGACAAGGAGCTGCAAGATAGCAGCAGGACCGTATTTAATCACCTTTTGTTCGTGGGGAAGCAGGGAGAACAGGACTAAGGGCTTCCCTTCTTTGAAGCTCTCCATCACCGAGGCAGGGACATTGCAGAGGTGAAGTGTAACGTACCAGCCAACCTGCCAGGAGAGGACTGGTTGTGAATAGTTCTCTTAAAAGAAGAGTGTCAGGAATAACGTGCCTGGGTTAGAGGGTGAACTTCTGGCTTTGTGCTGAGAACCAGCTGCCTGAGAAAGATCCACCCAGTTACCACCCTGAGACGTCTTCCCTGTTAGGAACAAGGGAACACAATAAGGGAAGAGATCAGAAAGAGGGAGTTACCGATGCTCCTTCGGTCTCCTCCTTCTCTATTTGCCGGAAGAGGTGCTTTCTGGTCCGGGAGAAGTCCTGGAACTGGAAAATCCTGGCATAATCCCTTGGGAGGTTCTCTTTGGGGTCCCATGGAGAAGTCCGGAAGCTCTTCAGCCCCCTGTACTTCTGGAACCTAGGGAAGGGATAACAGGGAAGACAAATTAGTTCACCAGTCCAGGTGTGCGGTCAGCCCACTTCTGTGGTCCACATGGACTCACACCTTCGGAGAGGACAAAGGCAGCAAAGCAGACATGAGCTCTCAGAAGAGATCTTAGTGCAGAGAGAGGTAGAAACAGCAGCCTTCCATCCAGGCTCTGCCATCCTCCTCCCTTCTCCTAGGTAAGATCCCAGCTTTCCCTGCCCAGGCTCACCCACTGCCTCCCAGCTGTTGCATCCCCTGGAAGCCTCAGAGCCTAAGAATGAGTCTTCAGAAGAGTCCTTCAGCCAGGTTCAGACACCATGGCTAAGACATCACAGGCTTCCTGCCCTCACCAAACCAGGCAGAAGGGTGCTTTCCAGCTCCTCTCCAAGGACAGCACCCCGTTTCTCACCGGATCCTGGCAGGAACATCCCGTGGCGTGTCCACCTCATCAGGAAACATTTCATCCATCCTCTCCTGTTTGTATCTCTCCAACATCTGCTCATCTTCCTCCACCTTCTCGTCGTACTGTTCGTCCCGCAAGCACTCAGAAACGGTCATAGTCTCACACTCCTCCTCTGCAGGTTCCTCCTCCTCCCCACTGCTCTCCCCCTCCTGACACAAAGGAAGCCAAAGAAGCAACATCAAACACGTGGCAGATTTAACAGTGGAAATCCAGACAAGTCCTGGCTCTTTGTGGTGCCCTTGCATGGAGGAAAACGGGACAGGATTGTCCTGGAATACACCGTAACACCCCGCAGCACCACCGGCAGCATCAGCTCTTGGGATGTACCTGGGAAACTGCCTCTTCCATCATATCCTCATCCATGTCATCATCTTCAGTGTCTTCATCATCTTTCTCACTGCCCTCTTCATCATCCACAATCCAGGCAGCCTGGTACTTGGATGTGCCTTTGGGGACCTTCACCACTCTCCTGTTTGCCTTCAGGGAAGCTGTAGGATTCCCACCAATGGTTAATGCAGGAATCATTCTCCTTTCCCTCAGCACCATTTACACAAGACAGGTGTAAACAACAACCGAGGGTTTCTAACAACCCTCAACAGGGACAAGGGAAGGTACAGGGGAAGGTACAGGAATATTGTTGCTACTCACCCTCTGCTTCTTGCAGTTCCTCTTCAGTAGGCCACGTCTGCTCCCCTTCCATAGGATCAGGAACCACTTCTGACTGCAAAGATTCCTGCTTGCTTGGATCTGCTTTCATCAGGACCTTAACATCTTCCTCCATCTCATCAGTCCCATTTACACAATCATCCTGGAGGGCAAGAGCAGAGTTCTGAGCTGTGAACACTCCTAACTCAAGCTGGCAATGGATCTTAACTGCAGTTCCTTTTAGTATCATGTTCATTACGTGCTGTGGGTGAGGAACCTCTGCTCAAGAGCTGGCACTAATACAACTCCCTTTCGCCTCCCCTTGAGCACATACACCCAGTTGTGTTTTCCTGATGTAAGTTCTGAAACACCATGTTCTAAACACAACCAGCAACACCCTGACCTCCAACACACCTGCACCTCCATGTCCTGACTCCTCTTCTGTCCTTTAACCACTCGGGGGTTCAAAGAGAGGGGATCAGGGGGAGCATCCACCTGGCTCATCTGGAAGTCTCCATGCCCCACGATATGCACCAGGCTGTTCACGTTGAGGCTCTGTCCCCGCACGAAGCCAGACACCTTCAGGGTTCCAACCAGGTCACCCTCCTGAGCAGGCACAAACTCAGCAGCGTGGGCAAGCAGGTGAGCACGCCGGTCCCGGAAGGCGAGGTGCCGCTGCTTCTGTGTGGAGAGGTGCCTGAGGAGCAGTGAGGATTCCTGCTCCGTGTTCAGTGGGAAGAGCCTGGCCTCGGGAAAGCGCTTCTCAATGGCTTTGGAAAGCTTCTTCTTAGCATCTATCCGCTTCTTGGGTGGCAAGTCAGTGCCTCCTGGGACAGCGAGGGCTACCGAGCAGTGCATGGAAGAGGGGTCAGGATGAGAGCATCAACCTTAAACCCCCTCTACTGACACACACTCGGATATCAGCAATCAACAAGCAAACAGATTCACACCATGAGGGGCAAAGGCAGTTTCACACATTCAAGAGAACAGTTGGGGCAGAAATCCAGTATTCAACAGAGATGAGATTTTGGGGACTAAATGACACCATGGAACCAAACTAGTGAGAAAGTACCTGAATCCCTTCTCTCTGCACAGCTGGGTAACGACTGCAGTGCTGACCCCACCGTGCACCCAGAGGCCTAAACCTAGAACACCCCTTATTATCTCCAGCACTCCTCAACCAGGTTAGTGACAGCAAAAGGCAGTACAAGAATGGCATTCACCTGACTGATCTATGCTCAGAAACAGCAATCAGCTGCCGATCCCCTATTAACATGTGGAGATTTAATTACCGCAGCAGTAAACCTCCACCAAGCTGCCCCTCACCCTACACCCCGTTAGAAGCCCTTAACGTTTCTCACTTGCTCACCGAAGGTGGGGAGCCCCTGTGCGAAGAGGCAGGAGAGGCAGTATTCCCCTGCATCATCCCAGCCTTCCGCAGGATCCAGGATGAACAGGAGGGAATCAGCAACTTTTGCCAGGTCTAGGACAGTGTAAAGGTCCCCTGCGAGTAAAACACCTCCGTTACTGGGGCTGTGTAAGGGCGCTGAGCCAAGACCCACACCGGCAGCAGCCTCTCCTCACCTGCCTGAGCTGTCACGAAGCGCCAGCGCTGCTTGAGTCGGGGGCAGAGCAGCGCGAAGCCGCCGGCCCTGCCCTGCTCCATGCGGACCAGAGCCGAGTCCTGGCTCTGCAGCAGGCGCAGGGTGTCCTGGGCTGCGGCTCTGCAGTGCAGCGGCACCACCACCACGAGGTGCGGCGGCCCCTCCCGGCTGCCCAGGCCCCGCTTCTCCGCCATCACCTGCGGGCAGAGCCGCACTGTCAACCCCCCTCCGGTCCTCTCCCGGCTCCCTCCACAGCTCAACCCGAACCCAGGAACGCTTCATTGCTCCAAACCCAACCGAGCCCGGCGCTTATCCCCCCCCCCCCACCTCCATGACACCCGCACCGGCCCCGCTGGACCTGCACGGACCGGAGCCGATCCGCTCCCCGCTCCCCCTCACCGCCTCCTTGCGCTGCCGGCGGAGCTGCAGCGCCTGGTGCCTCCGATCCACCCGGTTGAGGTCGCGGAGCCGCCGCCGCCGCGGCTGGGCCTTGACGGACACGCGGCCTAGCGGGGAAGAGAACGGTCAAGGCGGGCCGGGGAGAGCCGGACACCGGAGCGAGCACCGGGCCGGGAGCCGCCTTCACCTCCGGCGCGGCGCTGCGAGGCCCCGCTGTGCTTGCCGCCCTTGTGCGCCTTGTTCTGCTGCTTCAGCGGCCCGGGCCGGTGCGCGCCCACCGCCGCCATGCTGCCACCTCCTCCTCCTCCTCCTCCTCGGGGCTTCCGCTTGCGTCACGTCCGGCGCCTCGGACCAAGATGGCGGCGTGAGGGGAGCGGTGGCGGCGTGAGGTAAGGGGATGGAGGAGCCCCGGTGGGAGCGGAGCCGCTCCGGGAGCTCCTTGTTGGTTAGCGCCGTGTACGGGTGCTTACACACGGCGGAAGGAGCAGAGCGGCGGAGGCTCAGCCCCGCTCCATAGAGGTGAATGCAGCAGGAACGTGCCTGGCCCTTGGGGCTTCATCCCAGCCCCGTTTGTCGCTCGTTATCCAGCCAAGAGCGGCTCTTCCCAGGCCGGAGGCTGTCGCTGTACCCCGCTCTGGTGGAAGGTCCCTAGCAGGGACAAGCCCCCAGGACATGGGATGTGATGTTCCCTGTTATTGCAAGCCCCCCCCAACCACAGGCATGTGAGCAGCGGGGTTAAACACTGACAGCAGGGTGCAAGGGCCAGGAAAGCAAAGAGCCAAGGAGAGACCGGGCAGCTGCTACCAACAGTGACTGCATGGGGGGGAAATGCAGGTTCTATAGGTTCTGGTTCCTCTGAACTCAAGGCATCATTCCCCCCTCTCCCCTTTTCCTCCTGCAGATAATCAGCATGCAGCAGCAACACTAGAGCTGTTCGTTACAGAGCCTTTTCTACCCCTAAAAGCCGGCTGAACCTTTCAAACTCTAAAAGCATCTCACATAGCATGGCCTACCTGCCAGGATGGACGACACAAATCAAGAGACCAGTGATGGCTAAAGTGAAGCAGGAGTCATTGAGTCTCTACACAGGTACCCACTGGCACACGAGTCTGTACCACTGTCATTTCCAAAGGGTGTGCATCGCCCATAGCACTGCCAAACGCAAAGGGGCTGCTCAGAGAGCACTCAGGGAATAACTGGGATACTTCTCAGTCAGGAAAGCCAGCAGTCCTGTGGGTTAGTTACACCTCAGTGCTTCAGCAAGACCAGGGAGAGGAGCAAGGTTTGATGCTTCCTGCCAAGGGGAAGAACTGCCTCTGTCCCAGTGAGTCATCCAGAAGCCTGGAAACCCAGAGACAGCCAGAAGGGTCCCTTCCAGATCTCTGGAATCTTGCTGAGAGCTGCTCTGGCTTGTAGGAAGAGCTAACACTGAGCTGCACAGTGGGCTCTTTTGTGAGCCCTGGGCCTGTAAAAGCAGAATTCCCACAAATCCACATCAGAAGCTCACAGGTATGTCAGTGACCTCTGCACAGACACCCAAAACTGACAACCCAGCAGAAGGAGCTAAAGCCAGGCACAGCCCCACCACAGCTGAGAGCACCATGGGTGAAAACTCTTCCTGCCAAAGCAGAAACTTCCGAGGAAGTACAGTTACAGCCACAGGGAGGGATGCTCCAGCACTGGGATGTGCATCCCCGTGTCAGGGCAGGACCTTCAGCTCTCCTGCACCATCCACACAAAGCTTACATGAGCACAAGACAAACAGCAGCTGCTCAGCACCTCCTGCTCCCCCCTTCTGTCTCTATTCTCCAACACAAGAGGCTTCACATGGCCCCAGCACAGCCCAGCCAAGCTGGGTGATGAGGAGTGGAGCTCCTCCACGTGCTGCCTAAACCCCAGAGAGCAGCTGAGCTCGCATTCCTGCTCCCTAAACCAGCCTCACCACTGCCTTCCTGAAGCACTTCCCCCTTTGCACATAGGAAAAGGGTGAGGGAGCAACAAGCCAGGGCAAGCTGGATGCAGGAACCGGGCCTGGCTTTATAAAGGAAGAACTGGTTGCAACTGGAAGGACCAGTTTATTAGAGAAACCTCACATTGCAGAGAATTCACAACACATTGGAAAGGGTCCAGTCCTGCCGGGGCAGGCTCTCTTCAGCAGCTCAGATCTATGTCCCCCAGCTCCAACCCCAGCAGGCACCCCAAAGGGAAGGGTTAACTGGAACACAGCTTATGTTTACAAGCAGCCTGGGTTAAAGTTCAAATAAAGCCTCCCCGTTAGACATTGGTTAAAACAAAAACGGGTTTCAAATGTTTAAAAGCTCCCTGGTGGTGGCTGCAGCGGAATGGGGAGGCCAAGGTCTACATCACACAGAGGCCCGTGGGGCTCGGCGCTCGCTCTGCTCTACCAGTGAAGGCCGGAGGGGGGCGTCTTCTCGTCTTTGTTGCTTTCCAGAGAGAAAGGTGGGATTCGGACATCAAAGTGGGAGCCATCAGGCCTCTCAAATCGGAAAGTACCCCTGCAAAACACGAGCAGAGATCACAGCCAGGCCAGGGACACACACACACACACAGAAGGTAACACAGGAGCTCCTCCATCGCCTGGGCAGGGACTCTGGGGCTGCATTTGCAAGGTCCAGCAGCAAGGACATGGGTTTGGCAGAGGGACATCTCCCTGGCAGGGTGACTCAGTGACTGGAGGGCTCCCCAGTGGTTCACATCCCATCTCCAATACACATTCCCTGAATAAGGATGTCCTGACTGGAGCCTCCAGGAGGCAATCACACCACACATCTGCAGCAGTGTTCAACTCCCACTCCACAGGAGACAAACCCATTTGAGCTATTTCTACAAACTGTTTACCCACCAAGAAGCCTGTGAGGGGGTGAAATCCCCCCACAGATGTCACTTGGAGTAGCTTCTGGTTTGCTTTTCAGAACTGAATCTGTCTGTGCTTCTACAGTTTGTTTACTGCCCGTAACTACAGATGATTGTACAGCAAAACATGACATGGGCAAGAGGATGGTGGAGATAAACAGGTTCTTATGATGGAGAGGACACAACAGAAAACCAGAAACCAAACTGAGCAGCTAGCTGCAGAACCTTTATCTCTTTAGGATTCATGTAGAGGGAAATACTAAACAAGCTGGTTTTATTCCCCAGGGTTAAATGTGTAACCTGGCAAATAGGGATATCCCCTATAGGCAAAGAGCTGCTCTCGTGCTTTTCCCAACTCAAAGGCAGTTCCAAGCTTAGCCCTGAAACAGACTGACTTCAAAATGCAAGGCAGAAGGACCTGGCATACAGAAGGCAAAAGGTGACTGTGCATTTCTTGTCCACACAGAGATGACACTAAACAAGCTGACCCAGCTGAAATGGAAAACAGAGGGGAAGTGCTCTAACCCTGAGGCACAGGAAGAGAACAGCTCAGCTGAGCACTTTCCTGCCTGTGCTTACGGTAGAGGAGACTTCAACATCAGCTAAACCAAAGGTTTTATCTGGCCTAAACTGGGAATAACCCCAAGTGCCAGTTCCTTGTGGACACAGAACTGCACAGCTTCACTCAGGGATAGAATCAAAACCCAGGTCTCTTCAAAGAGAACACATCCCTACTGCCAGGGAAGCACTAGCATGAAGCTGAGCCCAGCAGAAGCTGACACAGAACTGCTCCATGTCTTCTTAAATCCAGCCTGGCACAGACCACAAATTAGCCTGGACCCTCTCTTGGTGCAGAGAATCAACAGATCATCTAAGTGGGATACTGCCATAGAGAAGCTTTTACTATCAAACACATCCAGTCACTTCCACCCACCTTTCAGCCATAACTCCAGGTTCAAACCAGCTCCCAGCTCAGCACTGTGGGGTCCCTAGAGCTAAACCACCACTGCAATAATAAGTGCTTCTTACCACATGTGACCACTGGATGCCTGCAGGGAGACGTGGCTGCTGTACTGAAATGCTGGCTGCTCCTTGGATAGAACTGGCTCCTGAGAAGACAGGAAGAGACCACTCTGCATCAGCAACAGATCTCAATGTTTCTCCACAGACAGGGAATTTATAGAGCAAGAGAAATGGGGAGATCCACACGCGAGTACTGCTATCAACTGCACAGCAAACAAGTCACCCAGTATCACTCCAGTTTTCCCATTACTGGTCATTTAAGATCATTCTCTAATACTCAGTGTGAAGCTTTGAACACTGCCAGGGATGGGGCAGCCACAGCTTCTCTGGGCACCCTGTGTCAGCGCCTCAGCACCCTCACAGGGAAGAGCTTCTGCCTAAGAGCTCAGCTCAGTCTCCCCTCTGGCAGGTTAAAGCCATTCCCCCTCTTATCCTGTCCCTACATCCCTTGTCCAAAGCCCCTCTCCAGGGTTCCTGCAGCACCTTTTAGGCACTGGAGCTGCTCTAAGTTCTCCCCTTAAGGAGCCTTCTCTTCTCCAGGCTCAACCAGCCCAGCCCTCTCAGCCTGTCACTAACACCAGACTTAAAAGCTCCTGTGATCCTTTTTCATTGCCATTTCCCCATTCCACCTATTTCTGCTGCCCACCAAGCAGCTCCCTGGCAAATGAAGCCAAGTGAGAGGCCTCCAGCAAAGAGCTGCACATCCCAAAGGACACTAGACAACACTCACCCTTCCCACCACGCCGCGGCCCCTCACTGTTTCCAAGGTGCCCGACAGGCTGAATATCCTCCAGTGCCGCTCTCGCAGCTGCACCACTTCACTGTCCAGGTTCTCCAAGCGGATACAGTAGCGCCACTGGACACAAGAGACTGATATCAACAAGGGGAATCAGCTGCAGACAGTGGGTAACCCATAGCCGATGCTGGGAAACATCATCCCTCAGATGTTTCTCCCTCTGAGCTTATCACGCAGCAGTGATGCCACAGCAAATCAACTCCTTCCCGTTTAGTTGCTTGGTAAAACAAAAGGCACTTACCCAATAGACATGGGAATTCTGGGCTTCCTGTCAAGAGAAACAAAAGACTTCAGCAGCTGCCCTTCAAGCCTCAGTGCCAAAACCTCTTCAGCTGTCAGCACAGCATCAAGCAGAGGGGCTCTCTCCATGCCAGGCTGACGCAGCCAACTCACATGAGCACAGGCAGCTGCTCTCCCAGCAGTTACTGCCTGGCACTGGCTCTGCTCTAGACATGGAATCATGAGGTGGGAGATACGCAGGGATCTTGTGACCATGGAGGGTTCATCTCCACGTTAATCACGCGCTGTCTACACATCTATAGAAACACCCGTTTGTTTGCCTTCAGGCACCCGATTTCCTGACAGGGTCAGGACAAACAGCAGCTGGGCTCCCCAGAACATGCAAATCCACACCAGGCTCCGTGGCAGCTCTGCTCAGCTGGGCTTGGAAATCAAACTGCTGCAGCAATTCCCAGCCCTCCCACTCGGAAGTATTGGAGCTTCATCATTTGGGATGGTCCAGATGAAGTTCTTACACTATAAAGAGGACATGGTTAGCAGCTAAATCCAGAAGGCTGTAGCTAAGCCCACGTTAACAGGGATAGACACCCATCACCAGGCAGGATAACAGACACTGTCATTACAGATGGCTTCAGTGCCACTTTACACACACACCTCTGAGGCAGTAAAGGACCAATTCAGAACCCTTCCTAAAACATCTCGCTAACACTGTTCTGCAGAACAGGACCATTTCCCATCCTGAAAATAACAAGGAAAAGCCAATTTTCCAAACCTCTATGACAAAACAGTGTTCATAGCTCTGCTGGACATCAGGAGAAGGAATCACAGCTGTGATTAAAAGGTCATTTCAGCAGTAAGCACGTTAAGCAGATCACAGAGGTACCACCAACACGCACCCCAGACCTACCCTCATGCCCATATAGAAGGGGATGACTGTGACTCGGATGTTCTCTGTGGTTTCCCGGTGCACATCGGAGAGCTCTAACCAGGGGTGGTTCTTCTCCTGCCATGCACACAGCGTATCCCTTGCTACAAAAGGTGGAACTGCGGGAGGGAAAGAAGAGAGCTCAGGAGGAGAAGTCACTGTGTCTGCAGTGGTCTCCCCTCAGAGCAACTCCTTCAACAGTTACAGAACTACTTAAAGTAGGTTTCACTGTAACCCAAAGCAGACAGAATCCCAGAATCCTAAGGGTTGGAAGGGACCTCAAAAGATCATCTAGTCCAACCCCCCTGCAAGAGCAGGGTAACCTAGAGTACCTCACACAGGAACTTGTCCAGGTGGGCCTTGAATATCTCCAACGTAGGAGACTCCACAACCCCCCTGGGCAACCTGTTCCAGTGCTCTGTCACTCTCACAGGAAAGAAATTTGTCCTGATGTTCCCATGGAACCTCCTATGCTCCAGTTTACACCCACTGCCCCTTGTCCTGTCACTGGACATCACTGAAAAAAACCTAGCTCCATCACCCTGACACCCACCCTTTACATGTTTGTAACCATTGATGAGGTCACCCCTCAGTCTCCTCCAAGCTAAAGAGTCCCAGCTCCCTCAGCCTCTCCTCATAAGGGAGATGTTCCATTCCCTTAATCATCTTCATGGCTCTGCGCTGGACTCTTTCAAGCAATTCCCTGTCCTTCTTGAACTGTGGGGCCCAGAACTGGACACAATATTCCACATGCGGCCTCACCGAGGCAGAGTAGAGGGGGAGGAGAACCTCTCTTGACCTACTAACCACAGCCTCTCTAACGCACCCTAGGATGCCATTGGCCTTCTTGGCCACAAGGGCACATTGCTGGCCCATGGTCATCCTCCTATCCACCAGGACCCCCAGGTCCCTCTCCCCTTCACTACTGTCCAGCAGGTCAGCCCCCAACCTGTACTGGTACATGGGGTTGTTCTTCCCCAGGTGCAAGACTCTCCACTTGCCCTTGTTGAATTTCATCAAGTTCCTCTCCGCCCACCTCTCCAGCCTGTCCAGGTCTCACTGAACGGCAGCACAGCCCTCTGGTGTGTCAGCCACTCCTCCCAGTTCAGTATCACCAGTGAGCTTGCTGAGGGTACACTCAGCTCCCTCATCCAGGTCGCTGATGAAAACATTAAACAGCACTGGTGCCAGCACCGACCCCTGAGGGACTGCACTAGTCACAGACTCCACTAGACCATGATTTCTATACCGTATCCAAGGAGTTGTGGGTACTTGTTACGAAGCACCTCAAGCATCTGGCTGTGAAGAGCTCCCTCTGAAGGCAGGAATTACCTTTTGTTTGGTCGTACATGAGAAACCTCTCAAAGAGCTCATGCTGGATGGGCACTTGATCAGTGGAGCTGTAGGGGAGGATATCCTCATGGCTTACGTAGTCTAAACCTGAAAAAGAAACCCCAAAAGCCACTGAGCTTCCCCAGTGAAAAGCAGCTCAGAAGTCTCCCTGCAGAAGAATGGATCACACTACTGGCATTGCTACCCGGCTCTGCTAAAGCTGCTCTGGTTCATGGATCATGGGATGGGATGGGTTGGAAGGGACCTTAAAGCTCCTCCAGCTCCAACCCCTGCCACAGGCAGGGACCCCTTCCACTAGAGCAGCTTGCTCCAAGCCCCTGTGTCCAACCTGGCCTTGAACACTGCCAGGGATGGGGCAGCCACAGCTTCTCTGGGCACCCTGTGCCAGCGCCTCAGCACCCTCACAGGGAAGAGCTTCTGCCTAAGAGCTCATCTCAGTCTCCCCTCTGGCAGGTTAAAGCCATTCCCCTTGGCCTGTCCCTACAGGCCCTTGTCCAAAGCCCCTCTCCAGGTTTCCTGTAGCCCCTTTAGGCACTGGAGCTGCTTCTTCAATGGCAGAAGGTGACTCTTGAATCTTCTAAGCTCACCTCACAACCACCCACGTCTCCAGAGGCTGACAGTGCGGTTTGCTCACCTGGGATGGCATAGAGGGCTCTGCTGTCATCATGGTTTGCCAGGAACGTCACTGCCTCCGTCTGTGACCTCTGGGACTGAGGAAAAGGAGCTTTATGTCTTTCTGTGGGGAGGGCTGAGGGCCAGTTCCCACAGTGCAGGTCACTGTTGTGCTTTGTGAGGTGTGTAATGTCTACTGTATTTAACCAGTCCACCCACAACATCTCCCTTCCATTCCCCTGGACTAATTCTCCACACCAACAGCATTTTCAGTGCCGTAACTCACATCCAGAGTGACCTGCATGCGAGAGCAGGAATGCCAACAGGCTGGGGAAAGGAGGCTGGAAAGGGAAAACCTGATCCAGAAAACAGTCCTATGACATTCCAGATTCTTTCTCGGGGAAAACATGTCCTGAAGAACAAATCTGTCCCTATATTCTGAGCCATCCAGTCAGCCATCGTAGCCATGTGCTCTCAGTGCCTGTCCATCTGAAGCATTCCCACAGCAGGTATTTGAGTTTCAATACCAAGATTGTTACTTACTATATGTGGACAATCCCGGGCATCTATTAACACCTGATAGTAAGTATGTGTTTTGCCCTTGACCTCTTTGGAACCATGGCCTGCCACGTTCTCGCTCCTAAGGAGAAAAGCAGAGCACTGAGCTGAAGTCCCTTCCTGTCATCAGGACCAAGAGAAGCAACACATTTCACAGCCTGTAACGTTCAACTCCATCCAAACTAAACCCATGGCAGCCACCCCTGACAACAGACGAGCAGAGATGACAATCAGTGGGGGCTGTCACAGGCACAGCGCTGTTCCCAGATGACTCGGAATTCCTGCATGCTCAACCCAGTCTCCTGTTTGGGGTGAGCATTTCTATTGTGCCCTGATGCTCTCTTTGCTTACTCCTCATTCCTTGCCTCCAACACAGGCCAGGGAGGAAGAGCAGAGATCTTTTGGCACGGTGGCTGTTGGGCCAAGCCAGCATCTCTTCCTGCTGGTATTCCCTGTGATCCCAGCCTGCTGACCCTCCTCCACGCTGTTTCTGGCATCCCCATGCGTTAAGGCCCTGCATACATCCTGCTGTTGCCTTAACTCTTGGGGGAAGAGCTGCTTTGCTCCCAGTGCCTAAAAGGGCTACAGGAAACCTGGAGAGGGGCTTTAGACAAGGTCCTGTAGGGACTGGGCTGGGGAGGCAGCTGGCAAACCCAGGCACTCTACAGAGGCACCAGGCTGCAATTCTAACACAGGAGCCTGGTCCCAGCTCAAAGAGCAGCACAAGGTGAGGGGGGTCTTTATATTAACACATGCCAGGAGCATGACTTCATTACTCCCATGATGTCCCTCACACACACTCATCCTCCACATTTCCATCCTGTCTCCCATTGACACACAATTCATCCTCATGCACCACCCCTCCTTTAAGCACCTCTCTTCATTCGTGCACAACAGCCCCGTACCACAGTCCTTAGAACGCCTTGTTTCCCCCAAGCAGGAATCTCACTACAAAGCGTCAATGCAAGGGTCCAACAACAAATAAACCAGGACAATTCCTTACTTTTCTGTGACAGGAGAAGCTACATCCCGGTCGTAGAGCCTGGCTTGCCAGGGGAACAGGACTATTCCTCGATAACCAAACACGCTGTGAAGGAAGAGCTGAAAGGAAGCAATAATTGCAGCTGAACACACAGCAAGCTGTGATCAAGTCGGATACGACACAGAACAGGAAGCCAAAAGCCCTAACAGACCTGTTAACTGAGGTGAAACTGGGAATGTTTATAGAGGGATGGGAATACAGGGCTCCGCAGTGCGGATGCAGCAGCAGGCTGGGATGAGAGAAGTTAATGTCACTGTTATCCCATGAAAGCAAGTAAGTAATGCAGCGATAAGGTGGCAGAGCAGCAGGAGAGCAGGAAGGAGACCGGCGCTCAGCGCACGGGAGCGGCTGTGAGCAGTGAGCAGAGCCGGGTCTGTCTCAGCTGCTGATTCCCAAGCTCAGCGGCACAAATGCCACTCGTGTCACGCTGCAGATCCCTGCGAGCGTGCTGCTGGCACAGACTGCAGACACAGCAGAGGCGGGGAGCATGAACTGGGACTCCCCATGGCAACACACCCGGTCCCTGCGGACGGCAGCCCCTTACCTGCCCGGTCTCGTATTTGCCGTGCTGCTTCGGGGCCTCGAACACCCCCACGGTCTCCAGCACTTTGCCCTCTGCACGGTTCCTGGGGGGCACAGGGGGGGTTTGAACCGGACCTAGGCTGGGGAGGTGGGGGGGGGGGGGGGGGCACACACAGAGCACCCGAGCCCCAGGCGCTGCTCCCGCCCCATTACACACAAGACCGCCCGGCTCCCCCCCTGCCAACGGCACCGGACACCCCAACCCTGCCCCCCGGCAGCCCCCAAACACCCCAACAGCCTCCCCCCCCCCCACCCCGGCCCCGCTCCTGCCCCATCCCCGCGGCTCCCCGGGCCTCCCTCACCGGACACCCCCACAGGCCTCACCGCGACGAGAGGTGCCTGCGCGGCGGCAGCAGCTGCAGCGGGAGGGCCGCGGCTCCGCCCGCGCTCAGGGCCCGCAGCCCGCGGGCAGGGACCGGGGTCGGGACCGGGGTCGGTTCCCAGAGCGGAGCCCCGCGGGCTCGGGCCCGGCTCAGCGCCGCCGCCACGTACCGCCGCGCCGCGCAGCCCGACATCCCGCCGCCGGCCCACAGTGCACCGCGGCACCACCACCGCCACCGCTTCCCGGCAGCCCCCGCGGGCGCTGCTCTAGCTCCGCGCTCTATGGTCGCGGCCCCGCGTTGCCTGGGTGACGGCGGGGACAAGATGGCGTCGGCCGTGCGGGCCGGGCCGCGGCTGAGGCGGGCGGCGGAGGGCCGGGAGCTGGCGGCGCTGCCCCGGGGGCTGCAGGACGAGCTCCGGGCCGCGCTGGCCTCCGAGGGCTCGCTGGTGCCCTTCAGCCTGCTGCGGAGCCTGCACGCCGCTCTGCGGGACGCAGGTAGGCCGCGCCGCACTCACTCACACTCACACACCCCCCCGGTGACATAGGCCTCGCCGCCGGTAACGGGCCTGTCCGCACCGCAGGGTCCCCGCTGCGCCTACACGAGCTGCTGGAGGGCAGCGAGATCCACCTGCCCGAGGTGCCGGTGCCGCCGCGGGTACGTGGGGGCCGGTGGTATGGGGGGTGTTGGGGTGTTGGCAGCAGCGGTGGTGCCGGTGCTCGCGGAGCTCTGCGCTTCCCTGCCCGCAGAACCCGGAGCTGGTGGCGCGGCTGGAGCGGATCAAGGCCAGGCTGGCTAACGAGGAGTACCGGCGGATGACCCGCGATGTCACCGGCAGGGTGAGCGGCGGCAGCGGGGTTGGAGCTGGGGGGTACAGGGACCCGGCGGTGCGGGGATAACGGCGCGGGATGGGGCCATGGATGGGGCTTTGGGAACGGCTCTTTGTGATGGAGAGCTCGGGTTTGGGCTGGGAGATGAGGAACCTGCGGTAAATGTGCCATGGGGAGCACTGGTGCTGCCTTTGTCTGAATGGTTCCGTCTTCGTTGTAGTCTAAAATGAGATCGTTCGTGTTAAGGTAAAAGTTGAATGACCAGGGTAATGTGCTCTGCTGTTGTGTTAACCCTTATGGGAAGAGCTGCTCTGCTCCCAGCGCCTAAAGGGGCTACAGGAAACCTGGAGAGGGGCTTTGGACAAGGGATGTAGGGACAGGCCAAGGGGAATGGCTTTAACCTGCCAGAGGGGAGACTGAGCTGAGCTCTTAGGCAGAAGCTCTTCCCTGTGAGGGTGCTGAGGCGCTGGCACAGGGTGCCCAGAGAAGCTGTGGCTGCCCCATCCCTGGCAGTGTTCAAGGCCAGGTTGGACACAGGGGCTTGGAGCAAGCTGCTCTAGTGGAAGGGGTCCCTGCCCGTGGCAGGGGTTGGAGCTGGAGGAGCTTTAAGGTCCCTTCAACCCAACCCATCCCATGATTCCATGATCCATGAACCAGAGCAGCTTTAGCAGAGCCGGGTAGCAATGCCAGCAGCGTTCCTCTCAAATAGCAGGGAAGCAGAGGAGCGTATCCCGTGTGCTCATCCCACTCTTCCCTGCTTCCCTGCCAGGATCTGGTGCTCAGAACCCTGTCACCGTGTCCAGGTCAGCACAGAGTGTGTGGAGCTTTGCAACACTCAGCTCTTCCCGGAGGCATGGACACGGTGACAGGCCAGACCCTTCAGTGTCCCTGTTAAAGCCAAACGTGCAGCAGGGATCCCACAGGCAGGAAAAAGCACTCGGATCAGAAATGTTCCCTTCTCAATGCTCTTAGGCCAGATCCCACAGAACTCCCAAGGAACCCGAGTGCCGCAGCTCCGCACGGCTCTCAGGACACGGAGTGTTCCAGACAGGGCGTTGGGGCAGCTTTATTCCATGGTTACCATTAAAACACAACTGACCACGGGTTGGTTTCGTCCTTTAGGAGACAAACGGGTCCTTGGCTGAATTCGGGAGGCAAGGTGAGTGCTGCTGATGGGGGCTCCTGCGGGTCAGGCCCCGCTGCTGGGACCACGCAGCCCTGCCCTCTCCGCTATCACCCTGGCAGGTTTCTTAGTGCAGGCAGGTGTTCCTCGAGCGAAGGAGCAGCCTCTTGGCTGTCCCTGTGACTGCCTCTGGATGCACAGAGCCTGTGAATCCCCCCGTCTTCCCGCGGGAGTCCCCATTAACAGGGTCTCAGCTCCCCCCAACCCATTCCCACCGTCTCTTCCCCGCAGTCCGCTCCGTTAGAGCCGTTGTCATCACCATCTTCAACTTCCTGGTGACGGTGGCGGCCGCCTTCGCCTGCACGTACCTGGGCAGCCAGTACGTGTTCGCAGAGACGGCGGCGGTGAGTGAGCCCCGGCGCGCGCCCCGTGCCGGCCCTGCACGCACGCACGCATGCACACGGCATCACTTTGTTCTCTGTCCGTGTCCCCAGCGGGTCCTGTCTGCGGTCATCGTGGCCTCCGTGGTTGGCCTGGCCGAGCTGTACGTGATGGTGCGGACCCTGGAAGGGGACCTTGGGAAGCTCTGACCGCTGCAAGCTCCAGACCTCATGGATTCGGGGCAGGTTTGTCTTCCCCTGCCTGTTGGTACCTGCTGCATCCCTCTGTCCTGGATCCTGGAGCAGCAATCCTGCAGCGGTGGCACAGAGGAGGGGACGTGGGTGGACTGTCGTAACCCAGCACAAAGAGGGGCTTAGCTCCCACTGTTCCCCTGCTCCTGCTGGCTCCTTTTATCATGGAAATAAATGGCAGTGTGTTTGTAACCTGCTTCCTGCCTCACTGGAGATGCTGTTGCTGCAGGAGTCTAGGAGCCATGGATCTTCCCTCTCCCGCCACATCCCGCATCCCACTCCAGCTCTTGCTGCAAGCTCCCCTCTCCCACTCTCAGGAGAGCACCTCTCCACCCAACCCAGCTCATATTTGGGGATGAGCCCTTATCCCATCCACTTGAGCGGTTCAGGAGGATCATGGTGTCCATCACAGCCACGACGGGCTTGGGGACAGCTCCATGTCCCCTCACACTGGGGCTGCCACATCTCCCAGCCCTCCAGGAGCAGGATGAGGGATGCATGGACTGCCAAAGGATCCCAGCTTCTGTGGGTGGCACCTCCACACCGAGCCCAAGGGGGTTCTCAGTGGCCATGGGGCAGGGAAAGGAGCCAGCTCAGTGCACCCACAGTGGGAGGGGACCCCTTGAGGACGTGGCCACCATGCGGGCGCCCTGCCAGGGCCAGACACGGTGATTAATGCTCTGATGGCAGCTAAGCCCCGCTGCAAACACGCTTTAATATCCGATACGGGGGATCTGCCGGCACCTGGGAACGTGCCCGCGGATTAGGGGCGGCCGCGCAGCAATCAGCCCTGGAAGCAGCCCCAGATTAAGGTATTGTCATCCAAAAGATTAGTCGGCATTAGGGGGCTCATGGGGCCTGGCCCCGCCGCGGGGCTCCGGCAGTTGGGATATAGGATGACATCCTCGGGACCGGCAGGTCACCCCTTGTCACCCCAACGAAACCATGGTGCGGGGCCGGGGTCCCCCGGGGCCGGGGGGGGGGGTCCCCATCGCGGCTATGGCTCGCCCAGGTTGGTGATGGCCGCGCTGTAGATGAGGTCAGAGATGGAGCCCAGCGAGGTGGGGAGGCCCGGAGCGGGGCTGCGGGCTCCCGGTGGAGGCGCGCTGGGGGCCGGGCCTGGGGCGGTGCCGTCGGGGGGTGCTGTGGAGGGACCCCGCTCGGCGGGCGCTGCTGGAGGCTGCGGCGGTGGCTCCGGTTTGGCGCTGCGGATCCTGCGGGCGCGGCGGTTCTGGAACCAGACCTGGGATGGGGACAAGGGACCGTGAGACACCGACGGGGCGGCCGCGGGGCCAAAGGGGGGGTCCCGTCTGCGCTCACCTGGATCTTGGCCTCGGGCAGCTGCGTGAGCTCGGCCAGGCGCTCCCGGGTGGCGATGTCCGGGTAGGGCACGGCGGCGAAGGCCCGCTCCAGCTCCGAGAGCTGCCCCCGGCTGAACGTGGTCCGCCGCCGCTTGCGCGGGCCCCCCGGGCAGGGGCAGGGGCAGGGCCCCGGGGCTCGGCTGCCGCCCGGTCCTCCCGCCCCGCCGGGGAAGCGGAGCAGCGGCTGCGGGGCTCGGGAGGTGCCCGGGGCCGCGCTCATCCTGCCCGGCTCCCCCGGGCCCGCGCAGCCGACCCGGCTTTTATCCCCCCCTCGACGGGCTGGGACCGCCCCGAGCGGGCGGCGCTGCCCCCCCTTATCCGCCCTCGGGGACCGGTGACCCCGCCGCTGCCCGCGCTGCTGTGTTCCCCCCGGCGGGGCACGGTGGGGTCCGTGAGCATCCCAGGGCTCGGGGGCAGCCGGGACCGGTGGGTCGGGGCCCCCCGGGTGTTGCTGGTGCCCGGGGCCGAGGTGCCGCCCCCCGCCGCGGGGGCCGCTCTCCCGCGGGGCTGGCACCGGTCAATGTTTAACCGGAGCGGTGGTGCCGGTTGTGCGGGGCAGCCCGCGCTGGCCGGCGGCGGCTGCGGCCGGGAGTGGCCGGAGACCCCGAGCGAGGGGCGAATGGAGGCGGCGGGGGAGCAGAGCTGGGAGCCCCGGCCGGGAACACGGCCCAAAACGCTCCCCCGGGGCCAGGAGAGACCGTAAGTCTGGTCGGGGGGGGACGGGGAAGGGACACGGAGGGAACCGAAGGGACCGAGGCCTCTGGGTCCTGGAGCAGGCAGGGCCTGGGCAGTGCTGATGCAGCCGCTTGGGCAGGCAGCGGGGGACTCGCACCCCATAAAGGCTGCGGAGGACCAGGGTGGTCCCTCTGCAGGGACACGGGGGGATGTTTCACTGCATCCCCTGCCAGGCCCTAGGGCACAGTGGGGACGGGAGGACAGGGGGAGCACAGCATGACCCTGGCTCCCCACCTACCCTGTCCCCCGGGATGCCCATGGGCATTCCCCCCCCTGCCTGGAGGGCACCCACCATCCCTCTGCCCTCTGTTCCCAAAGGAGCCTTGGAGAGGAGCGGGGGAACCCCGCGGTGGGCAAAGAGACGCGTCTGAGAGTGGTGCTGAGGTAAGGGGGGGACACAAAGGGCTTGGGGACACATCGGGGACCCTCCTGCCTAGGGCACGGGCACAGCGGGGGTCCCCACGGACCCATCCACCCCACACACACCATCAGGGTCCGGCCACTGACCTGCTCGGAGACGCGGCGAGGGGACCGGCGGGTTGTGCACAGCCTCGGCGACGGCACCGTCCATGTAAGTGCCACCTCCCTGCGGGGGACCGGCCGTGGGAGGGCTGCGGCCCCCCCTGAGCCCCCCGCTGTCCCCGTGCCCAGGTGAGCGCAGCCCGGCAAGACGCCACGTTCGGGTTCAGCGCCGTGTTTGACGCCGGCGACTCGCAGGAGGCTGTGTTCGAAGGCAGTGGGATGAGGCAGTTGGTGGAGCTGGCGATGGATGGGTGAGTCCCGAAGGGCCCCGCGGGGACCCCGACCCTCTCAGCCCATCCCGCCCGGGCGGCTCTGCAGTGCCAGGGCCGTGCCGGGAGGTGGCATCCCTGTGCCACCGCCTGGGGCCATGCCTGAGGCTCGGCATCTCCCGCAGCTTCTCCTGCACGGTCTTTGCCTTCGGGCAGACGGGCTCGGGGAAGACCTACACCCTGATGGGCCCCCTCGGCCAGGTACGGCACTGCCCGCCCAGCCTCACTGGGTCATGGTGGTGGGATGGGCTCTTCTCACCCGGTCGTGGGTGACCACTCACCTCCATTCTGGCATCTCCATAGGGTGAGACCCACGCAGCATCCCCGGCCCTGCTGGGGCTGATGCAGAGGTCCTTCGCCTGCCTCCTGGAGCAGAGCCGGAGCCGTGGCTCTGACCTGGCTCTCAGTGCCTCCTACCTGGAGATATACAATGAACAGGTAGGTGCCTGCCCGGCCACCCAGACCAGCACCACTGCCACCCCGTGTCCCCAGTGCCTCCCCTCTGCTGTACCCCCCTCCCCAGATCCGGGACCTGCTGAGCCCAGGGCCTCCATGCACCCTGCCCCTGCGGTGGAGCAAAACCCGTGGTTTCTATGTGGAGAATCAGCTCAGTGTGGACTTCGAGAGCCTGGAGGCCATTGCCAGCCTGCTCCTGCAAGGTGCTGAGCAACGGGCGCTGGGCTCAATGAGGGGGGTCATACCTGGTATGGGGAGGCTCAGCCCCTGCAGACCATCTCCAGGGGTGGTGGGGCTCAGGTGGCAGCCAAGAGGGGCTGCAAAGCCCAGGCAGGGTCCTGTTGCGCAGGGGCTGGGTAGCAGCTCTCAATCCCCCCTCGGTAGGATCCCAGAGGAGAAGGACCTCAGCACATGCCCTCAACAGGCACTCGAGCCGCAGCCACGCTCTTCTGACCATCCACATCCGCAGCCGGAACGTGAGTTCGTGTCCTCCCCAGGGGGAGGGCATGGGGGGCACGGGGCTCTTTGGGGGGGTACAAACAGCCCCGAGGTGGGGGGGAGGGGGGGGGGGGGCATACCCTTCTCCCCAAGGATTGTTGGTGTTGGTGGGATGAGCAGCAGGGAGCCAGATCCCAGAGCCAAGGCTTGGGACACTGCTATGGGAATAGGGTGAGGGTGGCCACAGCATCACCCCCACCCACCATGGGTGCGCCAGGCCAGCACCCTCCCCAGCAGGCAGGGCACCCTGTGCTTCGTGGACCTGGCCGGCAGCGAACGGGTGAAGGAGACAGGCTCCAGTGGGGAGCTCTGCGTGGAGGCCAACAGCATCAACCGCAGCCTCCTGGCGCTGGGTAAGAGCTGGGGGACCCCCCCACGAGCTGCTGGTCCCCATCAGAGCCCTGTTGCAGCCCCTGGGGCTCATCCCCCACAGGACACTGCATCTCTATGTTGGCCAAACCCCGCGGGAAGCGGACGCACGTTCCCTACCGGGACAGCAAACTCACCCGGCTGCTGGCTCGATCCCTGGGCGGCTCCGGGGTCACCCTGATGGTAGGTGGCTGGGCAGGGGTCTCACCCCATGGCGGAGAAGGCTGGAGGGGAATGGGTGACCCCCTGGCAGGCAGGAAAGCTGCAGCTCTTCCTCATCCACCGGCAGGTCGCCTGCATCTCCCCATCCTCACGCTGCCTCTCAGAGACACTGAGCACGCTGCACTACGCCAGCCGGGCACGCAGGGTCACCACCAGGCCCCTGGCCAACAGGGTATAGCAGGGGCTGTGGGCAGGGTGCTCTGTGCCACTGCTGGGATCCCTCTGAACCGCCTCCTTGTGCTCCCAGGTATCCCGGGAGAAGGTGCTGCAAAGCTTGGAGGAAGAAATCCATGCCCTGCAGCTGGAAAACCTCTCCCTGCGCCAGCAGCTGGGCCTGCCCAGGGTGCCCATGAGGAGCACGGAGGTCCTGGGAACCCCAACGAGGATGGGGGCTTGGCCAGGCTTGGGAGGCAGGTTTGCCCCCACAGGGCTGCATCAGTCACCTCTGGAAGGGCAGCTCCCATCGGAGGGAGCCCCAGCCTGGCCCAGCCTCTACGGCCTCCTGAGGGACTTCGTGGTGGAGAATGAGCAGCAAAGGTATTGGGGGGACACACGGGACCCATGAGCAGGACTGAGGCTTGGGGGCTGCCAATGCCCTGCCCTGCTCCCTCACTGCTCCCCAGGCAGCCCCGGCTGTCCGCAGACCCCAGTGGTGATGTCCCATCCTGCAGAGCCACCCGCAGCTCCTGTGACACCCAGCCCCTGCTGCGGAGCGCCTGCACCCCTCATGTCCCTCCTGGCCACCCCATGAGGCCCCGGCTGCCGGTGAGCATGGGGGGACCCTGGGCTCCATGGGCATCCTCACGTGGGTGCCCAAATCACCCACCCTCTGCTAAACCCTCTTGCAGAAGCTGCCTCCTGCCTCCAGCCATCCCAGCTGCCCCCAGTGCTGCCCTGGGCTGGCTGATACCCTCATGTCCCAGGTACAGCCCCGGGGATCGATTTGGAAAGGGGTGTCACAGCACAGCCTGACCACTCTGCTCACCCTCCAGGCACTGCCAGGGCTCCCCACACTGCAGCCAGTGGCCCCCGAAGGAGGCACCAGTGCTCTGCCACCAGGCCAGGAGGACGTGGCTCTGCCCAGCTCCCATCAGGCTCCCGGGAACCCCCAGCCACCCCAGGGGAAGCGGTGAGAGCTGGGGCCTGTGGGCATTGTGCAGCTCAGAAGCTCCTGGGGTTCCAGGGGATGGTGGGGCACGATTTGGGTTTGTTCATGTGTCCTCGCAGCAGGAGCCGGGGCAGGAGCAGGAGCTTTTCCTATCGGCACCCGCTGCCCCGGGAGCTGCCAGGCCCTGAGCGCTGTCCCAGCCCCGAGGGAAGGGTCATCCCTTCGGCACCGCCGTGGCCGGGATTGCCGGAGCCCAGAGGTGAGCAGGGCAGTTGGGGGGAGGCCAGGTCCCCTGGGGATGAGCACCCATCCCACTCAGCCACTCATGTGTGGAGCTGTGGAGCTGGGAATGCTGCAGACCTGACCCTGCTGTCTCCTGTCTGGCAGCCGCTGGCACCATCCCTCTCCTCCAGTTGGAAGAGGCATTGGACTGGCTGGTGGAGCAGATCTGAGCAGCACAGACACGGACAGGGCTGGCAGCAGGGATCTGGCACAGCCAACAGGCAGTTATTAGACACGGGAGGACAACCACAGCCTTCAGGGACAAGGACCGCACAGACCACTGGATGGAGGGATGGATGGAGGGATGGATGGAGGGATGGATGGATGGAGGGATGGATGGAGGGACGGATGGATGGATGCATGGATGCATGGATGACAGACAGAGCTCTCCGGCCTGCACGGCACTCAGTTTATTCGTCTATCTAGGGGCTGTGCTGCTGGTGGCTCTGGTGCAGCCCACTCAGGTGCTCTCCTCCCCAGGCTGCGGGCAGTTCAGCCAGTACTGGGCGATGGAGCGTGGGTAGCGGGGCTGCACCAGGTCCACGCGCTTGGTGCGCAGGTTGACACGGTAGTACTTGTCTGGGAGGAAGGGGAGACGGCAGTCAGGGCTCTCTGCCAGCCCTGGGCACCTTCCCATTGCATCCCAGAACTCGGGGATGTGGCAGCATCCCTGGATCTCCTGCTGCCCCAGACTCACCTCCGACAAAGAAGTAGACGCTCTGGAGGGTCTCGCACTTGGAGCCCGACAGCCAGTCGCTTTCAATCCCCGCGGAGTCGGAGTCGTTGTGCAGCCAGCCCCAGAAGCCCAGATTCAGGGAGCGGTGGCTCTTGTACCTCTTGCGCTGGCGGCGAGACTTCCTCCTGCGGGGCTGCTGCGAGGCCACGTAGATCCTGCCGGCCATGGCAGCGTCCAGCCGGCTCGGCACCCCCCGCCAGTCCCTGCTGATGTACCGCGGGCTGCTCGCCCCGGCTGCGAGAGAGTCACAGGACAAGTGAGAGCAGCAGCAGCAGGGGGAGCTGAGCCCAGACCCACAGGGATGCTCCAAAGGATCCCAGCTTGGATGGCATCACGATCGGGCAAAGGACAGGCAGAGCTGGGATCAGCCCTGTGCTGCTGAACCCCTTTCTCTTCCACCTTCCCATCTTTCATTTCCCTTGCCCAGGGCTGGGGTTTTTCTAAGGCATCTCCAGCTCCAGTGGGAATAAACAGACCCCAGCAGTGACACTGTGGTGTGAGATGGCTGGTGATGGTTTTGATAGTGTGGGGCATAAGAGCTGTAGAGATTTGGGTGCTGTGGGAGATGAAGCTGTGGCCTGGGGGGGCTCCTGTCCATATCCTGGACTCCCGCCCAGCACAACAGCTTCTTCAGCTTGCTCACACTCCCAGGCATAGCTCCCTCCCTGGGTACCTGCACCCCCTGTGCTCTGTCAGTGTAGGCCCAGCCCTTACTCATCCTGTTGCCAAAGAGGATCTGGAAGATGTCCTCCCAGCTGTCCCGGTTCATGAAGGCGTAGTGGTTGAACACGGTGGAGGGGGAGGACTTCGCACAGTCAGCCTGCGTGGGCTGGTTGGCAAAGTCATAGGACCAGTAGTACTTGTCTAGGAGAGGATGTACAGGGCATTAGTGGGGAACACACCCTTGAGGGGGAGCAGGAGCTAGACGGTGTCTTGCCCATGCCCACTGTGCCCCTTACCCTTGAAGAAGTAGACTCTCTCATTGCCGTGGTAGCTGTGGGCAGGGAGGGCGAAGGCCGCGTCGATGTCGTTCGGGATGCCTTCAAAACCCTCAGAGATGTCACGAGGGTACTCGGGGTCCAGGACTCCATCATCAAAGCGCCAGTACTGGCTGCCCTGGGGGGTGCAGGACAGAGGTAGGGGAGTCAGGGGGCTGGGTGCAGCACCAGGGTGTGAGTAGATGCTGGGAAGCCCCATCATGAGGCTGTTGGCTGCCTGGAGCCCAGGATATGGGTATACCTGGCAGTCACTGTGCGTGTGTGTGCATGGACAGGTGGGTTGGGGAGCTGTATTGGCCCCTCCAGGAGCACACCCCCCCCAGCCCCACAGCCAGGCTCTTGCCCACCTTGAACAGGTAAGTCTTGCCCTGGCAGTTGATGCGTGTGAAGGCTGCATCAATGGGGCCCTCAATGCCCCAGACGTCGCTGATGAGCTTGGGGTAGCCTGGCCGCACGCTGTTCTCATCCAGCTCATAGAAGTACTTCCCTAGGGAGAGAGGGGTGGTGGGAGCAGCAGGAGGGACCTCAGCCACCAGTGTGGTCTGGCAGTGTCAGCCCACAGAGCAGCATGTCCCATATGCCCAGGAAATGTCCCCAGGATACCTCGGAAAGCATAAAGGGAACCATTCTTCAGGTCAGTGAAGGCATCAAAAGGTTTCCTGCTGCACAGCTCCTCGGGCTCCTCCACAGGCTCCAGCTCCCCAAACCCATCCAGCGTGGTGCTGGGCACCTCGCTCGGTGCCTCCTCGGGGTTTGGTTTGCTCTCCAGTGTGGGCTGTTCTGGAGGCAGGGATGTGGGTTGCTCTGTGGGCAGCTCTGTGGGGGTTGCCCTGGTGCCTTCTGTTGTGCCCAAGTCGATGGTGAAGTTGTAGTCGAGGTAGTCATCCTCCGGCAAGGCAAACACGTCTCCCCGGGTCACTGTGGAAGGGAGCAGGTGGGTTCCAGAGAGCCCTGGGTATCCCCCATGGGATCTGGGTGCAGGAGCTGCTTGCTCCCAAGCAATATGGATTTGCAAGGACCCCACAGTGCAGCTGCCGAAACCCCTTGGTGCTGCAGCACCAAATCCTGGCACAGACCTCACCCTGAGGACTCGGTAGGTGCACCATGGACCCCTCTGATCCCCCACTGTTGTTGGGCATCCACAACCACAGGACCAGTACCTTTGGCTTTGCAGACAGTGGAGTAGTCGCTGCAGCAGCTCTGGTAGTACACACAGAGGGTGTCACACTGGCATTTGCGCTTGGCATCGAAGCCATCGTCACAGTGGCCGACACAGGAGTCTGCAAAAGCCACCCCAGCACAGAAGGAGTAACAAAGGGTGGGCAGCGGGGCCAGTGCCTCCCTCCCCAGCCCAGCTCCGGGGGTCAAAGCAAACACAAACACATCCCAGCTGAGGAGATTCCCACCTCTTTGTGGTCAACCCCGTCACCGGGGTCTACAGCAGCACCTCACCCTGCTCTCACCCCACGTCCTGCTGGAATGGCAGCCATGGATCAGGCTGTGCCAAGGCCCCAGCTCCACGCTGCAATCCAGCAGTAGGATGACCAGAGATTTGCCCAGGCACCACTGATAACCCATGTTTTGCCTTTGTACCTTCTCCCAAGGCATTGCCAACGTGGCCAGTGGCCATGGCCACTACCCGATTGTCTCCCCACCCTGTCCAGACTCCCCAGCCCCTCCATCAGCCCAGGAGCCACAGACACTCCGTGCCCACCCTGCAAGGGGAAGGCACACGGTATGGGGCTGGCTCACCTTCAGCAGCACGGGCAGGAGTGAGCAGGGCCAGCACGATGGCAGGGAAGAGCAGCCTCATCCTCCTCGGTGGGAGCACAGCCCTCCTGTGACTGTGCAGGCTGGAGCGTGGCTGCGGCCGGAGCCCCGGCAGCCGCTGTTTGCTCAGCCTGCCCCAGTGGGAGAAAGCAAACAGGCCAAGGTCAGAGCAGGGGAAAAGGGGCAGAGACATTCTCCCACCCAGCATCCCCTGCAGTGCATAATGAGCTGGGTATGTTTGAGGGGGAACAGGGCTTCCCATGTGTGCAGGCAGCTTCTTCCCAGCCTTGATGCAGGCACTGGTTCGGAGAGCAGGGGAGGACAGCAGGCCAGAGCCAGGAACCAGTCTTAAGGTGCTGCCATGCTAATTTCAGAGCAAACCTTGTGGTGTTAAAGCTCCAACTCAAGGGGAGGCCATTTGCCAGCCTAGCCTTGGCAAGACAAAAACCATAATGAGAGGGGATGAGGAGCGATGCTCTGAGGACAAAGGGAAAAGCTCCATATTTCATCATTCCAGAGGACCTGCTCTTGGAATTCTGGCTCTCTTAGTGTCGGCAAGGCTGGGAGCAGAGCTGGGGAGCCCCAAGATACAGCAGCTCAGGACGGGGCAGATGCCACCTCTGTGCACAGGGACCAGGGGCCAGAGGTGAGTGGCCGTGAAGGAGGGAGGAAGAGCAGCAGCCCTCTGCACTTTCACTGCAGTACGCAAACAAAATGCTGTGTATTTTGCTCCCATCGTTCCCTTTCCAACCCATCTTTTTGGTTACTAATTAATGTCAACTCAGATCTTTGGGCAGCTCCTGATAACTCTGGGATGTTTAATCAAGGGCAAGGAGCAAACACACACAACACTACACAGATACCACCCCTGGCTGCTTCTGCTGGGGCGGGAGGCTCACCTTCCCGTCCACCCCACCCCGCGCACAGCTCTGGGCTTGAATAAGTGATGAAAGATTTGGGAAGAGAAGAACTCGAGCAGGGTGCCCGCTGTTCCAGGGGCCTCACCTCTGCCAGCTCGGACACAGGCAGTTCCCAGCATTGGCTGCTCCCACCCTTACTGGAAAGAGCTTTGATTTGGTTTCAAGAAAGGCATTTCCATGTGGAAAGCCTCGGTGAGCCGAGGGCAGCCACCAGATGTGGGCTGTTGGGGCAGGACTTCTCCTGCAGCTCCCTCCTTGCCCCCTGGGCTCAGCTATGGCAGGGCTGGTGTCATCCCTGGGTGCAAACAGCCCAGCACTGCACTAAATTTTCATCCCATCCCTGTTGAATGGAGCCGGGGAGTTCCGAGCAGACACAGGCTTGCGAGGAGGCTGCAGGGGGGGAGAAGGGCTGGGCAGTGTCTGAGCTGCTTTGGCTGATCGGCTGAGACAAAGCTCCCTCCGGCTGCTCCAGGCTCCCATGCACCAGCTCACACGCCGAGCCCTTCCCTGGCTGCTGTGCTCAAAGCATGGCAGGAGGAGACCCCCAAAAGACGGGCTGGTTTGGGCAACGGGGCCCTGGGGAGCACAAGGGTTGAGCAGAGCCAGCAAGGAGAGCTCAGGCAATGGGGCTGATCCCCCAGGAACCCTTGCCATTCCCAGAGCCGGCACTGGAAATCCCTCCCAAAAAGCAAAGTAAAACTAAAAGCAAAGCAAAGCTCTCTGGGCTTGTCAGGACAAGCCTTAGGGAATGGTTTGAGTTCTGCCCCCTGCAGAGAGCAGCTTCCTCCAAACCGATCAGCTGTGCTGCATTGCAACAGCCCGTTTAATTTAATTACCCCTGTTTAATAATAATTTAGCAGGAAAGTCCTTACTGGTTCCGTGTTGAGCCTTTCCTGTAGTGCTGTGCTGCTCAGGACGCCTCGGTTACCATCCTTTGCTGTGAGCTGATGTCCCTTTCCTCTGCCTGTCCCTGTGCAGTGGGTTCAGAGAGGATTAAAAGCGACTGGCGCATCAAAACATCAACTTGAATTTAAGTCTCAGTCTGAGCTGGCAACAACCTGGTTTTGAAGCCAAGGATTTAAGCTGCTCCTCCCAGTGCAAGAAGTGGCCAAAGCATTTCTGCCCTGAGCACGTCCGGCCTGGAAAAAGGAAAAGAAAATAAAAGGGGCCCAAGCTGCCCCTGCTCTTTGTTTTCTCATGCAAATCCAGAGCCCACCCAGAAGAGCTGCTCTGAATTTCCGCCTTGCAAAGGCAGCTATTTAACCCCCTGCACTGATACAAACGGTTTCAAAACACAGCGCCAGGATGGCCACAACCTCACTGTGACCATTGTGGCCATCATGGTGCCTGGCTCTTCACTTCCACTTTGTGCCCCTTCACTAGTCACACAGGGTCATGGAGACCTGCTGTCAAAGCTGCGTGGGGGTCCCTGCCTGCGGTGGAGATGACCACAGGCTCCAAGGCTTGGGCAAGGCGAGGGATATGTGCCATGGGGACAGAGGGACAAGCCCCAGCTGAGGCTGGGCAGCAGGGCTGTGGAAGGAAGGGTCTGGGGGGATGTCAGAGCATCTGCAGCGAGGAGGGGGATGCTGCTGCCCAGACATGAGCCCCTCCTTGGAGAGGCGGCGCCTGCGCGGGGTGACATCAGCCCCTGAGGACCGGGGATGCTGAGCCTGGCTCTGGGAAGGCGGCTCCAGCCACCGCTTCCAGCTCCGCATCCCGGCTGGGTAGAGAGGGGAGAAGGAGCCGGCAGCCCAGCCCTGTTCCGTCCGCCTCCCGTGCCACCCCTCCGACCACCTGGGGTCCCCTCAAGGAGCGTGGTGGCCCTGCTGGGGGCTCTGACGGGCTGGTGACCGAGGATGCTGTGCTAGGAGATGCCGATGGTGCTCACCCTGCTCGTCTCCCTCTATAAACTGTGCCGGTTCTTCACCATGTCGGGTGCGGAGCGGCTGGAGGTGCCGGAGTGCGTGAGCCAGGCTGGCAGCTGGGCTGGCAGCTCCAGGGACCACCGGGAGGTCTCCCCCGGGGTGAACACGGATGTACGGGCAGCCCTGGACCGCATCCTGCCCACCCTGCACCAGGCCATCACGCACGCCAAGCAGGCAGCCAGCCCCGAGGAGCTGAGCAGGTCCATCGCAGAGGTGTTCCAGCTGGTGGAGGAAGCGTGGGGGATGCCCACACTGGGGAGGGATGTGGCCAAAGTGCTGTGTGATGTGATCCGCCTGGAGGGGGGCCTGGACCTGCTGCTGAACCTGCTGTACACAGCGGAGCTGGAGACCAAGTGCCAGGCAGGAAAACTCCTGGAGCAGATCCTGGTGGCAGAAAATAGGTGAGTCTGCATAGAGCCCCCTCAAAAAAAAGCAACAGCCCTCCCCATTGCAGGCTTGCATGCTGTCCCACATCCCCTCCAACCATCCCACCCATACTCCCCAAATTTCCCTGCTCTGGGTGCTCCTGGTGCATCAAGCCCCCTCGGCTCCACACCATGTCCATCCATGTCCTTGCATGGAGGGATCCCTACTTGCTGGTCACACCCAGGCAATGATATCCCTCCCTGACTGGAGTGAGGAGGGTGAACCCCTCAGGCTCAGGGATGGTTGGTGAGGATCAGGGTGTCCTCATGAGCCACCCTTAGCCTGGGGTCACCCACACAAGACATCCTTTGTGGCTGAGCTGGGTCAGTTTGCCTGGCACAGAGCATCTGACCCAAAGGATGGGACACGACTTCCCCTTAGCCATAACCACAGCAGGAAGAGGAGGACAAAGCCAGTTCCCAGAGACTTCCTGCTGCTGGACCAAGGCCATAAGGAGAGGGTCAGCATCCCTTGGAGCCCCTCAGCCCATGGTCCCTAGCTCAGAGGCTGGAGATGCATGTGCTGTTCCCTAGGAGAGGTGAGAGGCACCGGGCTGGCCCTGCCAAAGTGTTGGTAGAGGTGGGGTGGAAGTTTGTGTACAAGTGTGTGTACAAGGGGGCACGTGCACATCCAACACATGTATATGCACTGCCACAAGGTCCCCGACAGATGAGCTCTTCTCTCTGCCCTGTGCCTGGTTTGACATGCCCCAGCAGCACTGCACTGCAGCATGCTGGTCCCAGAGAGAAGCCATGTACCTGCCATGAGCTGGGTCAGGATCAGTCCTTTCTCTCCTGGTATCCCACAGGCAAACGCATGACTCTGACAGCCTGGCTCTCCCTCCATGCTCCCAAGTCCAGCCAGGGCTTTTTTTGTGTGTGGAGGAAGTCTGACCAAATTTGGGGTCTTGCTCTGGCTTCCTGGGTGATGTGCCTAGCTGTAGGGCTGTGGACTCGCAGCCTGGACCTCACTGTGGGCACTGGCAGACAAAAAGAAGCAACAGCTAAATCAGGAAAGTCCATTAGAGTGGAATTAATCCCAGGAAACATCACTGGCACTGCATGAATTCAGCACTTACTTAGCTTCCTGGCAAAAGAAAGCAGCTGCTGGAGTCACCATCTCTGCTCCAGAAGTAGTTCATGGGCCAGAGTCTCAGAGCAGCAGTGGGCTCCCAGCCCCTCACTCCACACAGCTTGACCCACCATCAACCTCTAAGTGATGTTAGGGAGGTATAAGGTCCCCTCAGGGTCCAAGTCTCTGTCTTAGAGGCCTCTCCCATCATCTGTGTGCAGCAGCAGCAGTGCTCTCCTGGGAGCTGGACCGGTCCCATCTCCATCCTGTGACCTGCTGGGGCTGTGTTTGTCATCCAGCTCTGAGCTGAGTCCAGGCTTGGAGCCAGTCCCAGGCTGGGGCCTTTTTTTTCCTGAGCTCTCCACAGTGTTTGCTGCCAAACCCACCCCAAGGTCAGCGTGAGCCATGTGGGCCACAGGCTTCCCAGAAATGCTCTTCCTGCCTGCCAGCACAGCGAGCCTGTTGTGCCTTCACCCCACCTTCACTGGGACCGAATGTGCTGCTGTCCTCATGAGCAACAGAGCATGGAACATTCACATCAGCGCTTGTGCCTTGGGAATGGAGCAGCTCCACCAAGGCACCAAACGGGTCATACCTAAGGGCTGAGAAGATGGAGCTGCCCTGGCAAGCTCAGGGAGGGCAGGAAAGAGCCCATCATTTCACCCTTCCTCACTGTATGCTTTTAGGGCACAGCCCCATTGAGGTGTCATTTTAAGACCATTCTCACAGCAGAGGGCTCCCAAAGCCAGCCATGACTGAGCAGCAGCTGCTGGTCCCCAGCTGCCTGCCCCAGGAGAGCTCTTGCTGTCCTCTTCTAGGAGAGTGCAGGACTAAGGGAATACACAGGTTTCCCACATGCTGTCATTGCAGGACAGGCAGACCCCCCTGGCCAGTTCTGTGTGGTTGCTCAGACAGATGTGAAACCCCTGTCCTGGGCTTGGCACCCATCTGGGGAGCAGCCAGAGGACAGCACTAATGAGAGACAAACAAGTTTTCACCCCCAAACATTAAGCAGCTCACACACCCCCAGCAAAGCTGACTAAGCAGATCTATTTCTAGCCTGGCATTTGCCTATCACGTGCTGTTGATTGCTATGTATGTCTTATCTCAAGCATGAGAGCCTCTGATGTGGTGGTCCTGGGCTATTCACCACCACCCAGTGGTCCTATCCCAGCGGGAGCTCTTCCATCAGACCCAGACAGGTTCTTCCACCACCAGCCTGTCACATCTCACTGCATCACATCAGACAGCATACCTGGCAGCTGTGTCCCACAGGGAAACATCTGGCTTTCATGGGGCAAACGCCACCAGAGCATGAGCAAGTTCACACACCAGTCACTGCTCCCAGTCCCTACGCAGCCATCTGCCACTCACCTGCCTGTGCTTCTCCTTCCTTCAGGGACCGGATTGCTCGGATTGGTTTGGGAGTGATTCTGAACTTAGCCAAGGAGAAGGATGTTCCCCAGCTGGCACAGAGTGTCTCTGGTATCCTGGAGCACATGTTCAAACACACCGAGGAGACCTGTTTCCAGCTCATCTCCGATGGAGGCCTGGATGCTATCCTGTACTGGTGCCGCTGGACGGACCCCATCGTGCTGCGGCACTGTGCCATGGCCTTGGCCAACTGTGCCATGTATGGAGGGCAGGCCAACCAGCGCCTGATGATCGAGAAGAGGACAGCAGAGTGGCTTTTCCCCCTGGTGTTCTCCAGAGATGATGAGCTGATCCGGCTGCACGCGTGCCTGGCCATCACAGTGCTGGCCACCAACAAGGAAATCGAGAAGGAGGTGGAGCGGTCAGGGACGCTGGCTCTGGTGGAGCCCTTCATCGCCTCACTGGATCCGGAGCAATTCGCCTCTGAGATGCTGGGCAGCAGTGACAACAGCCAGGGGAGGACGGCAGATGACCTGCAGAGGCTGGTACCTTTGCTGGACAGCTCGAGGATGGAAGCACAGTGCATTGCTGCTTTCTACCTCTGCATGGAGGCTGCCATCAAAACCAGGCAGAAGAAAACAAAGGTAAAGGGTAGGTCTGAAGGAAGGAGATGCAGAAGGGAAGCATTGCCACAACTGCATCTTGGTGTCCTTTGCTCTCCTATGAGCTCCCCAAGTACTCTGGTCCTCAGTTGGCCCAGCATGGGTTGTGGGGAGGAGGAGGGAAAGCAAAGTGATGTGTGCTCCCTTTGTGTCCCCAGATCTTCAGTGAGATTGGGGCTACTCAGAGCCTGAAGAGGATAGTGTGCTACTCCACCAGCAGCACTACCTCCTCCCTGGCCAAGAAGGTGCTGCGCATGATAGGGGAAGAGGTTCCTCGGCGCATCCTGCCCACGGTTCCCAACTGGAAGGCCTGTGAGGTGCAGACGTGGCTGCAGCAGATCGGATTCAACAGTTACTGCCAGAGGTTCCTGGTAGGGCTGTGTGCCAGGGGAGGGACACCTGGATGGGCCCTTTTGCCCCATCTCGCAGCAGAGGTGTAAACATCTCACCCAACAGCTTTTCCAGCCTGGATTTCTCTTGGCAGGACCACCAGGTGGATGGGGACATTCTCCTGAGGCTGACGGAGCAGGAGCTGCAGAAAGATTTGGGGATGGACTCCAGTATCACTCGGAAAAGGTAGGACTGCCACCAGCCCATGCTGGCCTCCTTCATGGTCATCACCACAGGTCTGTGCCTTTCCCTTCTTGCCAAGACAAGAACAGAGATCCTCAAAATACAAATCCTGGCCTGTCAGGACTTTTCCAGTGCAGTATGCAGTCCCAAAGAGATTCTGGCAATGGGGAGAGGGGTGGGATGGGAAGAGACTATTTCTGGCACAGGGGAGGTTGGATCCTGCAAGTTACCCTGAAAGATGGGAACTTACCTGAGCTTCTCCTCCTTTAGCTGAGCTCCTCATACCTCTGTGTCCTGAAGACCAACAGTCACACAACTTTCTTCCTTTTCTATCCCTTTGGCTTACTCTTCACCATGGCACATAGCTGCACTCTCTCCTGTGCAGACAAGAAGATGTGGTACCAAACATCTCTTAAGTCCTGCTTGCTCCAGCAGCCTCCTTTCCCCACTACATGCTTCCATTTGTTTCTCTGCCAGGTTTTTCCGGGAGTTGACAGAGCTGAAGACCTTTGCAAACTATTCCACGTGTGACCACAGCAACCTGGCTGACTGGCTGGGCAGCATCGACCCCAAGTTCCGTCAGTACACCTACAACCTGCTCACATGCGGCATCAACCGCAACTTCCTGCACCGGGTGACGGAGCAGCAGCTGCAGGAGGACTGTCACATCAACACCGGCTTCCACCGTGTCCGCATCCTCACTGCTGCAAGGGGTGAGGGTCCCGCTGATGCTCAAGGCTGGGGGTGAATGTGGAGGGTTGTTTGGGATGAGCTGTTGCGTGGGTTTTAACTTCTGGGTGCTGTTTGTTCTGTCTAGAAATGCTTCACTCCCCTATAACACTGCAAACAACATCCAATGGCACGGATGTATTCATCAGCTACAGGAGGAGCACCGGGTCGCAGCTGGCCAGGTGAGTGCTGCAGGCAAGGACATGGTGTTGGGCTGAAGGCTGGTGATCAGCTGTGGGAAAAGCGTGGAGCTGGGAAAGCCGCAGGATGCAGAGGAGGGGGAGGCTGCCAAAAGCTGCAGTGCAAATGGGGACAGCATGTGCCATACGCTGCATGGTGGGCAGGCTAATTCCCAGTCCTGTCACTGCCACCCTGTCCTTCTTTGACACTGACTTACCCTGTTCTCACGCTGTGCTCACAGGGCTGTAGGGGATCACAGCAGGGAGTTAATGTCCAGCTCCCCTGTAAGGAGGCTGGGCTGGCAGCTGGCATCTCAAGGACCATGCTGTTCTCTGTGGGAGCCTATTCACTGCTCCTCTGTCTCACCACAGCTTGCCTGAGAGTGTGTGAAACCCGGTAGCTCTCCTCATGGTGCTGTTCCCTCTTGCCACCAGCCTTCTGAAGGTCCACCTGCAGCTGCACGGCTTCAGTGTGTTCATCGACGTGGAGAAGCTGGAGGCAGGGAAGTTTGAGGACAAACTGATCCAGAGTGTCATGAGTGCAAGGAATTTTGTGCTGGTCCTCTCACCCAACGCACTGGATAAATGCATGGAAGACCCTGAGTGTAAGGACTGGGTGCACAAGGTAGGAGATGCTATCACGCGGGAGACTGGTGGATGCTGGAGCAGGAAAAGGCCCATGGTGGGCTCACACAGGTCATAGCCTGAGCACTTGTATGTTCCCATAGGAGATTGTGACAGCCCTCAACTCTGGAAAGAACATTGTACCTGTTACAGACCATTTTGAGTGGCCAGATCCAGAAACACTTCCCAAAGACATGAGGGCTGTCCTGAAATTCAATGGTATCAAGTAAGTAAAAGGCACCTGTACCATGGCTTTCCTTGGCACTTGGACAGAACAGCTTGCATAAGCAGTAGCAAAGAGCACAAGGAAATAGGGAGAAACAGATGAACAGGCAGAACAGGCCAAAGGGGAGCTGAGTCACTTTGGGTTCTCCACTGCATGAAGGGAGCAAAGGTCCCCACCATAGCCCTTCTCTAGTTTTGTGCTTGGGGCTCCCCTGGCTGAGAGCTCCAGGCAGGAGTGATGCTGAAGTTTCCACAACTCCCCCTGGGCTCTTCTCACCTCCTGCTTCCCCTGGGATGGCATCCCAATGTGCTCATAGCCCACCAGCCTGGCAGGCACAAAGGGACTTCCCAGCAGCATCCAGTGCTCCTCCATTTTCCCTGAGGAAAAAGGAGGTTCCTAGAGAGCTGGCGTGGAGGAAAGGGCTCTCTGGCTCCTGGCCCAGATGAACTGAGCCATCCTGTGGCATCTCACATGAAGGAAACATTAACCCAAGTTTTCCCCTCGATCTCAGGTGGTCCCACGAGTACCAGGAGGCCACAATCGACAAAATCATCCGCTTTCTGCAGGGACGCTCCTCGCGGGACTCCTCGGCCGGGTCGGAGAACGGCCTGGACTGCTTGTCCTCCCTGGGGCAGACCTAGAGCCAGCACAGCTGCCTCAGCCCCTCAGAGACTCCCCAGCTGGCCCCTTTTTATGTGGGGCCAGATTTATCCCTCTATTTTTCCGTACCTTAATACCCTGGCTTGAGACAAGGCCTGTGGCACATTTACCCCCCTTTTGCCCTGCAAATGCAAGCCCTTGGCACTAAAGGACTAGTACTCACACGGTGCCTGGTGAGCTAAGCTAAGGTGGACTCTGGGATGGATGAGTTGTCTTCCACATCCTCCCTTGGGAAGGTTGGACACATAGGCTATACCTCCTGCAGTGCTGGGGATGTGAGGAAAACATGTCTGAAGAGAAACATGTCCAAAGAGAAAAGGTCTTCTGAGGAACCAAAACTTGGGAATTGGTGGGGGATACAACCAAAGAGGACACGCAGGAGAGAAGAGCAGTTGAGAGGAAAGGGTCCCTAAGCATCATATGGCCTCTGCTGTGTGCTGTGGGAATATCGTGGTCAGAAGCCAAGAGTAGGAAAGGGCAAATAAAAGCTAAGCCCTAACGAAATCCCTGTGTTTGGGAAAGATAACACAGAGGCCTTCTCAACGGCTCAGCAGCAGCTTTCTCTTTCCTAGTAACATCCTTTTATCAAGTGAGCTCACTCCCCCCTTCAGGGCCTTCCACCTCCTAATGCTGCAAAGGCACTTTGTGTTCCTAACTCTGGCGATGGAAGTTTGGGGTTATGACAAGTTGTTCTTTTCAGACAACAGATCATGTGAAGTTTCTGCAGGATCTTTGCAAAAAGTGCTTTTGAAACAACCCCTTCCCACCATCTGGTGCCTCAGCTTTACCACAATATCAGGTCTATACTTACAGGGCGTAGGAGGCTGGATCTCTGGAACACATATCCATGTAAATATGGAAGATGCTAATTGCTGTTCTGTACTTGTGGAGTTAAAACACTGGCTGTGTTTTATTCTGTTGGTGCTTCCATGGTCTGTTCCTTCAAACAGGAGCTGGTGTATCTCTTTGCTGACTGCCAGCCACTCCTGACAGCCGTGGGTAAGCTCTTCAGGCTCAGGTTTGTCTCTAGTCTCTGCTGGATTCAGTATCAAGTAGCATTTGCTTGTTTCTATCAACCTCTCCTCAACACCCACCAGGTCTTTTTGCAGTTACTCACCCTGAAACATCAGGAGTGAAGCTGATGCAAAGGGTGGGTGAAAGCTGCAAGGTGTGAACACCACCTGCAAGGTGTGAACACCAGCTGGGTGGGGGACTAACACTCAGATGAGGAACCGGGGGCACCCTGACACATCTCCCCAAGTTCTGCCCTCTCAGTTCTACCCTGCTTCTCCTGCCTGCCTCGAAGGGTGAGCAGGCTCTCAACAACATGCAGCTCTCAACAACATGCCATTTTGCAACTAGGACCAGAAACTGCAGCTCTTACCTGAGTTTGTCTTTTCTGATGCAAAGGGAATAATGCAAAGAAGACATCCTTTTTTAGAGCATGCACAGGAGG